TTTCTCTCTCTCTGGCTATGCCACAGTTTGGCTTGCTCTCTCACGTTAGCTCCCTCAGATTGTCCTCAGGGCATCCAGGCCTGGTCCTTACCCTAAGCATGCAACCCGCCCCTCCTTGTTCAGTCCCTGCTTGCTGGTGGTGGACCGAACATCTGGGCTATGTCTCCGGTGGGAGCGCCACTAGGCACGTAATCTGTGGGTTTTATTTATTTATTTATTTTTCCTCCTGGTTATGTTGCCATCTGAGATTCCAAAACTCCCCCAGACCCGCGGTGAGAGGGTTTCCCGGTGTTTGGAAACTTCTCCGCTTTCACAACTCCCTCCCTGTGACGGGCCTCTGTCCCTAACTCTTTTGTCTCTTTTTTATCTTTTATATTTTGTCCTACCTCCTTTTTGAAGACAGTGGGCGGCCTTTCTGGGTGCCTGGTGTCTTCTGCCAGTGTTCAGAAGTTGTTTTGTGGAGTTTGCTCAGCATTCAAATGATCTTTTGATGAATTTGTGAGGGAGAAAGTGGTCTCCTCGTCCTATTCCTCTGCCATCTTAGGGAGTCAACACAATTTTGCCAGTGAGGAATAAATTTGCTTATTCCTGTAGCATAAAAATCTGTGCTTCGGGATTTGATGAACTCTTCGAAAGCATTTTCTGCATCTTGCTGGTTGTGGTAGCATTTTTCCTGCAAAAGTTGTCGAAATGCTTGAAAAAGTGGTAGTCAGTGGGCGAGAAGTCAGATGAATATGGCAGATAAGGCAAAACTTTGTGGCCTGATTTCGTTCAACTTTTGAAGCATTGATTGTGCAGCATGCAGTTGGGCGTTGTCATGGAGAAGAATTGGGGTCTTTCTGTTGACCAATGCCAGCTGCAGGCATTGCAGTTTTTAGTATATCTCATTGATTTGCTGAGCATACCTCTCAGGTGTAATGGTTTCACTGGGATTCAGAAAGCCGCAGTGGGTCAGACTGGCAGCAAGCCACCAAACAGTGACCGTGACAATTTTTTTGGTGCAAGTTTGGCTTTGGGAAGTGGTTTGGAGCTTCTTCTCGGTCCAACCACAGAGCTGATTGTTGCTGATTGTCATATAAAATCCATTTTTTGTCTCATGTCTACAGTCCGATTGATTCGTTGTTATTGTGTAGAATAAGAGAAGATGACACTTGAAAATGATAATTTTATTTGATTTGCAGTCAGCTCATGAGGCGCCCACTTACTGAGCTTTTTCACCTTTCCAATTTGCTTCAAATGCTGAACGACTATAGAATGGTTGATGTTGAGTTCTTTGGCAGCTTCTTCTGTAGTTGTAAGAGGATCAGCTTCGATGATCCTCTCAGTTGGTCATTGCTAACTCCCAGTGGCTGGCCACTACAATCCTCATCTTCAAGGCTCTCATCTCCTTTGTAAAACTTCTTGAACCAACACTGCATTGTGCCTTTGTTAGCAGTTCCTGGACCAAATGCATTGTTGATGTTGCAAGTTGTCTCCTCTGCTTTACAACCTGTTTTGAACTTGAATAAAAAAAAAAAAAATCACTCGAATTTTTGGTCTAACATAATTTCTTAGCAGAAAAACATAAAGCAAAAAATGTGCATTAAAATGATGCATAACAACCACATTTATTTAAGAATGTATTCCAATATCAAAAGGCAAAGTTCAACAGTGCAAAACTGATCTTTTGACAGTTAGAGACGTGAGTTGTCTTTCTTCCCTTGCATATATATGTCTACCCCAAACAAGGACTCCTCAGTTCTGCAGATGAGCAAATCCTAAAAGATGATGCTGTTAAAGTGCTGCACTCAATATGCCAGCAAATTTGGAAAACTCAGGAGTGGACACAGGACTGGAAAAGGCTAGTTTTCATTCCAATCCCAAAGAAGAGAAATGCCAAAGAATGTTCTAATTACTGCAAAATTGCACTCATTTCACATGTTAGCAAGGTAATGCTCAGAATCCTTCAAGCTAGGCTTCAACAGTACCTGAACTGAGAACTTCCAGATTTGCAAGCTGGATTTAGAAAAGGCAGAGGAACCAGAGATCAAATTGCCAACATCCACTGGATCATAGAAAAAGCAAAGGAATTCCAGAAAAAAATCTACTTCTGCTTCATTGACTGTGCTAAAACCTTTGACTATGCGGATCACAACAAACAGTGGAAAATTCTTAAAGACATGGGAAAACCAGATCACCTTATCTGTCTCTGGAGAAATCTGTATGCAGGATAAGAAGCAACACTGAGAACTGGGCATGGAACAATGGACTGGTTCCTGATTAGGAAAGGAGTATGTCAAGGCTGTATATTGTCACTCTGCGTATTTAACTTACATTCATAGTACATAATGTGAAATTCCAGGCTAGATAAAGCTCAAGCTGGAATTAAGATTGCCGGGAGAAATATCAGTAACCTCAGATAAGCAGATGGCACCAGCGTTATGGTAGAAAGCTAAGAGGAATTGAAGAGCCTCTTGATAAAAGTGAAGGAGAGAGTGAAAAACCTGACTTGAAACTCAACATTCAGAAAATGAAGATCATGGCATCTGGTCCCTTCACTTCATGGCAAATAGATGGGGAAACAATGGAAACAGTGACAGACTTTATTTTCTTGGGGTCTCAAATCACTGTGGACTGTGAAATTAAAAGACACTTGCTGCTTGGAAGAAAAGCTATGACAAACCTAGACAACTTATTAAAAAGCAGAGCCATCACTTTGCCAACAAATGTCTGTCTAGTCAAAGCTATGGTTTTTCCAGTAGTCATGTATGGATATGAGAGTTGGACCGTAAAGAAGGCTGAGCACCAAAGAATTGATCCTTTTGAACTATGGTGTTGGAGAAGACTCTTGAGAGTCCCTTGGACTGCAAGGATATCCAACCAGTCCATCCTAAAGGAAATCAGTCCTGAATATTTGTTGGAAGGACTGATGCTGAAACTCCAACACTTTGCCCCCTCATGCGAAGAGCTGACTCATTGGGAAAACCCCTGATACTGGGAAAGATTGAGGGCAGATGGAGAAGGGGAGACAGAGGATGAGATGGTTGGATGGCATCACTGACTCAATGGACATGAGTTTGAGCAAACTCTGGGAGATAGTGAAGCACAGGGAAGCCTGGCATGCTACAGTCCATGGGGTCACAAAGAGTCAGACATGACTTAGTGACTGAACAATGATACTTCTCCAGAAACAGGGACTCAAGGATAAACATCTTATGGAGTAAAGAACAAGGTCTTAGTGATTCTTAGCTTTTCTGAGGTGAACACAGGAATTTTTTAAAAGATTGGTAAAATACTAAAAGAGATGATTCTTCTGATTGAAAGTATAAGGACTTCCATAGTGGGACTCATTTTATTCTTAAACTTGGGTCAGAGTCTGTATGTGTGCACCTGGTCCTGTGTATGTGTTCTGCCCTGGGTGTGCGAATATGTGTGCACACATGTGCTTACCCTGGGTGTGTGTCTGTGAATGTGCGCATGTGCTACCCAGGTGTGTGTGTGTGTGTGTGTGTGTGTGTGTGTGCATGCCCATGTGCTGCCCCAAATGTGTCTGTGGTCCCTTTAGGGGTGTGTGTGTGCATGCATGCACATGTGCTACCCTGGGTGTGTGTGTGTGTGTTCATGCTCTGCCCCCCCCCCGTGTGTGTGTGCACACATGTTTGGTTACGCATGTGTTTTTGCTGCTCTGGGTGTGTATGTGGGTGCTTCCCCTGTGTGTGCATGTGTGTGCACATGTGCAGACGTGTGCCCCCCAAGTGTGTGTGCATGCGTCTATGCCTCCCAGGGTATGTGTATTTGTGTGCGTGTGCCCCCCCCCCGTGTGTGTGCACACGTGTGGGCCCCCTCCCGTGTCAGTGTGTGTGCTTTTTGCCCTGGGGGTATGTGTGTCTGTGCTCCCCCAGGTGTGTGTGCACCTGTGTTCTTACTGTCCAGGGTGTGTGTGTGTGTGTATGTGTGCGTGCATGCTTCCCCAGGTGTGGGTATGTGTGCATGTGCCCCCCCTCTGTGTGTGTGCACGTGTGTTCTTAACTGTCCAGGGGGTGTGTGTATGTGCGTGTGCATGCTCCCCCAAGTGTGTGTATTGACAGGACAGGTACAGCTCTGAGTCAGGTGCACGGTCCTGCCCTGAGTCAGCCCCAGGGTTTTGTCCCCAGTATGTGCAGGATTTGTGCCTTTTTGTCTGGTTGTGACATGGGAGGGTCTTTGTGGGAGGGAGGTTGGACTGTGTGCAAGTGTGTGTATCTGGGGGCAGGCCAGGCGGCAGCAGCACCCTTGCTCTCTGCCCCTCTGAGGCCGTGACCTGATCTGTGAACCAGCAGAAGGGCCTGAGCCAGGGTCCGCCCCCATCCCCAGGACCATCTTCCTTGTGTGTCTTCCTCACTTGTCCTGGAGGTGAGAGTCAGTCAGGGAATGCTCAGGCGGAGGTGAAGGCCAGACTTTGACCAGTACTGTGGGTGTTTGGTTCTTGCCTGAGCAACTGAGTTCCATTCACGGGATGCTGCGCATCCTGGTGTGTGTGTCACTCTCATCAAGGCGTTTCTGGACATCTGCTCAGTGGCCAGGCTGGTAACCGGGGCTGCAGGGGCCAGACAGGCAAGGCGCCCAGAGCTGAGCACTGGGCCGCAGCTGGCCATGTTGGTGGGGCTGCTGCTTGGCGAAGACAGAAGGGGGTCACTGGGCTGTGGGAGGGGCCGCAGGAGGGACCTGCGCTGGGGTGGGGTCATCAGGCCTGGAGTGTGAGCCGGCCTCAAAGACAGAGGTGCGCAGTAGCATCTCCCATCTCACAGGGCTCAGGAGGGCAGTGCAGGGTGGCCACGGAGCCCACGTCATTGGGAGCAGTTTCTGTCACCTGCACGAACCACATACAGAACACGCAGGCTCGTGGCCAGAGGGGTGTGGGTCTCCACGGCTGGAGCATGACTGTTGGTGTCCACCCTGTGGGTGCTGTTCACACAGGTCTCTGGATGGTCCACCTCAGCGTATGTGTGTGCCTGATTTCCAGGGTTGTTTTCTCTCTTCAGCTAACGTGTGTGTTGTGAAGGTGGAGGGTACCCCTCATCTCTGCAAAACTGATGAAGTTGGAGAGATCTGTGTGGACTCCAGTGCGACGGCGACAGCATACTATGGGCTGCTTGGGATCACCAAAAACGTCTTTGAGGTCCCTGCAGGTCCCACAGCAGTGACGGGAGGGCGGGCAAGGCATGAAGGAGTGTGGCCTTCCTCGGGGTGCCTACAGCCCTGATGGACCCTGGGTGGCCCAGGGGAGCTCCTCGGGTCTGAAGCCATTGGATCCTCAGGAGAATTCAGTGCCTTCACAGGGGTGGGAGGGGAAGCCTGGGTCCTGTAGGCCATGCTGGCAGGAGGCTGATGGAGGTCATGTCAGCTGATAGGGCCTCTGGCCCCAGCGTGGGATGGGCCTGGGTGGGGAGCCCTGTCCCCTCCAGGGAGATGTGGTGATAGCCCTTCTAGGACTGTTGTCCTCTGCATTCTGTGCAGACTGTCCCTGTCACTGCTGGGGGCGCACCTGTCTCGGACCGACCTTTCACCAGGACGGGGCTTCTGGGCTTCATCGGGCCTGTGAGTATGTCCTGCTGCCAAACCCAGGCCACCAGCCAGGCTCAGAGCTGGGGAGGGGTCTGTTTGATGTCCGTGGTGCCCAGGCCCCAGGACGGAGTTCCATCCCGCCCAGCCGTCAGTGCTGTCATGCTGGGGTTCCCTGTCCATGGCCTTGAGTCCTTTACAGACTTGACCCTCACTTGTGCCCACCTCTGACCTTCCCTGCCCTGATGCCTGCTCTGGACACCCCCCCACCCCCACCCCAGCACACCAAGCTTTGGGCCCCTTCACCCTGGTCCCCGCACCTGTGTTTCCTGTCGCCGTGGGCTGGGGGCCTGCAGGGCCTGTCTGTGAGTTGCCTGGCCTGCGGGCTGTCGGGCCTCTGTCGCAGGCCCTGAGCCACAGGGCCTGCCGTGTGTCCTCTGCCCAACCAGCGTCCTTGCCTTCAGGATGACCTGGTCTTCGTCGTGGGCAAGCTGGACGGGCTGATGGTGGTGGGATTTCGCAGACACAACGCGGATGACGTGGTGGCCACTGCGCTGGCCGTGGAGCCCATGAAGTTTGTCTACAGAGGCAGGTGATGCGCGGGTCCCCTTGCCTCACCTTTAGGTTCCTTCTCCACTTAACCCTCGAGAGGTCCCCACAGTGGAAGGAGAGCCCAGTGCTGTGAATACGCAAAACCTATTAACTCCCGTACATTGGAGAACTTCACAAAGAAAAGGATGATGTTTGCAGGAGGATGCCTGAGTCAGAGTCCTCACCATCTGCAGAGTTCACGATTCCTCGAGGGTGAGACCCAGACCAAGACCTGGGTACGGAGACTGGGCCAGCACCACCCAGGAGCTGTGTGCCTGAGGGCAGAACCTCAGGGACACAGGCCAGAACGGAGGCCTTTCCCTGAGAGTTACCAGGCGCCGTGCTTTCCTAAGGTCGAGTCAGTTTACCTTTCCTGAATGTGTCAGGCAGGCACTTCACAGGTTCTCATCCAGAGAGCAGATAAGGGGGCCCAGCCGGTCGGGGCCCCAGGCAACTGGGATGGGGAGCAAGGGCCCTGTCCGGCCTGTCCAGCTCAGGGCTCTGTCCTGGAGGAGGGGCTCCATTCCTGGTTGGCCCACTCAGCCACCTGTTTCATTTTATTCTTCTCGTGGGAGTGCTTCTATTACTCAAACAAGGGTGCCTGTGAGCCTGGCCAGAGCCTTCCTGTGAATATGTTGTTGTCGTTCAGTCACCCAGTCGTGTCCATCTCTTTGTGACCCCATGGGCTGCAGCACACCAGGCTTCCCTGTCCCTCACTATTTCCCAGAGTTTGCTCAAACTCATGTCCACTATACCTTAAAGAAATCATCAGGGACTTCTTGCCAGTGAGGGGTCAGCGTGGCTGCCGGCCCTTGCCCAGGTTGGGGTGATGGCCATGGATGACTGACCCACCTGGGGGAAGCCAGCTGGGCAGGTGGCCCTGGTGGGTGTGTGCATCCTGGAGCTGGGGCACAGGGCACACACAGAAACTGGAGGCACTGTTAGCACAGGTGTCCACGGCGGGGACACTGGGCAGCCCGCACGTGCTCCCGCTATGTCAGGGAGACCGCCTGGCGTGGCTAGTGATACCCGATGCCACCTGGAGGGGACGCTGGCCCAGTGGCTGACTGGGGTGTGGGGTGGACGTGTCTGTGGCTGGAGAGGCGACCTATCTGCCTTCACCACAGAGGAGCTGAGCACTGGGTGGATACCTGCAGGAACTCTTGCAATGTGAGGTCAAGGCACCACAACAGACCAGTTGTTCAGAAGGTGGAATAAATGTGGGGCAGAGGCGGCTGGGGAGGGAGCTGATAAGCTGGAAAGCCAGAAGAAGAAACTGCTCCAAAAGTGAAGAAATAGGAAGTCTAAAAAATTGAGAGAAAAGTGAAGTGAGCGGGGCTGGCATCCAGACAGTAACCTCAGGGAGGGGAGGGGGTGCATGTGTGAACCTGAGGCTGGAGGAGGTAGCCACAGGGCGGGTCTCCAGCCAGGATGCACCAGATGCCCCAGAAGAGGGCCTGGAGTGAAAGGATGACATGTTTAAGGTTTTCAGAGGAACTTTTAGCCTAGGTTTTAATATATTCATCCCAAGATGTCACTTAGCTGTGCAGTTGCAGTGAAAATGTTCTTGGGTATATAGGTTTCAGAAGTTTTGTAACAAAGACTGTTTTTGTGAAAACACTTTCAGGTAAGGTACTAAGAGAAATAAGATGGATGAAAGTCAGGAAATGTTAATCCTGGGTGAAGCTTGTATAAAAGAGAAAGAGTGTGTGTGTGTGTGTGAGTGTGTGTGTGTGCATGTGTGCACTTGTGTGCTCAGTGGCCAGAGGAATGAGTGAGCAGGTAGGTCTGTGAGGCCCAGGGCTTGTGTGGCAGACATGCCAGCTACTGGTCTTGTGAGGGAAAAGAATCTACTTGAGTCTAAAGGAAGGAAAAGGCAACACACAGAAAAGGTGAACATGTCAAATTCTTCAGAGGGAAAAGAATCTACTTGAGTCTAAAGGAAGAAAAAGGCAACACACAGAAAAGGTGAACATGTCAAATTCTTCAGTAAGACATGAAATACAAGTCCGCAGACGTCAGTCACAGATGTGAGCAGAGTCACTCATGGTGAGAGATTTCATCAGCTGGACTGAAAAATTATGTAATTAATAGATCTTCTGGACACACATTTTTACATGAAGAAATCATCGCATGGCTTAACATTACAATTAAGGAGAAATTTCTTTAATAGTGTGAGCCTCGTCTTTTCTCTGCACCCAGGTCCTGTCTGCTTTGTGAATGGAAACTCATTTTTCCACATTGGAGGAGGTTTGGTTCCTTTTACGTTCTGTGGACCACGTCTCCCTCCAGCCCCACTGCAGTTTCCATCTCGTGGGGTGGGGTGTCCGCACCCAATCATGCCGGGTGGTCATCGCTTCCCTTCCTCCCCCAGGATTGCTGTGTTCTCCGTGACAGTGCTCCATGACGACCGGATCGTGCTGGTGGCGGAGCAGCGGCCTGACGCCTCCGAGGAGGACAGCTTCCAGTGGATGAGCCGCGTGCTGCAGGTGGGCGTGGGCCCACGGCTCCGCCGGCCCCGGGGTGTGGAGCAGGAACTAGGCCCCGACGGTGCCATGTCTGCAGCAAATGTGTGCTGCAGCTGGAGGTGTGTCCCACCTCTCGAGGCCCACACGCTGCCACTCCCTGCACAGCCACATTCGTTTTCTTAAATACTAACCTAGAAGCAGCAACTCTCTTGCGGGGCTGGGAGTGAACTTTGCCTTCAGTGAAGAGCACAGACTGTACGTGCGGTCAGGGAGCGTAGTTTACTCAGCTCACTGAGTGTAACTTATACATGGAAAGAGCAGATTTGCAGGGGTCCAGACTGGTGAATTTTGACAGGTGTACACGCCCCGGTAACCACAGCTGAGAGCACTTGCGCCATTCGGGGAGCCACCCGCCGCTGTGTTCGGGGGCTGAGCTCTGCCCCTCACCAAGGGTGACCTACAACCAAGCCTCAGTGTGGGCTCCTGATCCGATTGTCTTCCTCGGTGGCGCATTCATGAGTTCCTTGTGGTGTGTGCATCAGTGGCCCATCGCTTTTTATTGCTGAGTTGTGTTTCCTTTGCTTGTTTGTCCATATCTTGGTGACACTGGGTTGTTGGTTTGGGGCTGTTATGGATAAGGCCGCTGTGGACAATGGTGTCTGTCCAAATCTCTGGGTGAGTTCAGTCCCGGCAGCTCTCCAGAGAGGCCCCTGGTGTCCCAGCAGCTTTGGGCAGTTGTGTGGCGTGTGCTCGGCCTCGGCCCCCGGGGTAAGGACATGCCTACGGAGCAGAGCAAGTCCGGCATCAGCGAGACGAGAGAGCCCTGAGTGTCAGAGGACCAGTTTTTCTACTAATGCTGACATTTATACTTAGTGAAGATGTTTAATGTTTCATAGTGGAGTACTACTAATATACCAGTCATACAAAGAAGACTGTAACAGCCCCCGTGTGTCCACTGGCAGCCTCAGTCAACACTGACCAGTCCAGGAACCATCTGTACCCCACTGCACTCCCAGCTTCTCCCTCAGGAGAGCTTTGAAGCAAATCCCAGACTCAGAGATTTTACCTGTAAATTTTAGTATTTATTTCTTTAAAAAAGGAGTGCCAGTATCCCATCTTAAAAATAGGCATTAATCCTTACCAGATGCACTTTTACAGACCTCTCCTCCCAGTCGACAGGTTCACCTTGTTTCGTTGGTGGTTTCCTTTCCTGTGCAGAAGCCTTCTGGTTTGACACGAATCCACCTGTTTATTTTTGCTCTTGTTGCCTTTGCTTTTGGTGTCAAATCCAAAAAACCATCACCAAGACTAACATCAAGTCTACTGTAGCCTATGTTTTATTCTAGTATTATCAGTTCAGGTCTTCTATCCAAGTCCTCAGTCTATTTTGAGTTAGTTTTGTGTGTGGTGTCCAGTTTTTCCAATGCCATTTATTGAAGGCACTCTCTTCCCATTGTCTGTCCTCGTCTCCTTTGTCATAAAGAGGCAACCGTGTGAGTGTGAGATTACTCCTGGGCTCCCTTCTGCTCTGTTGATCCATATTTTTGTGCCAGGTCCACACTGCTTTGATTACTGCAGCTTTACGATGTTTGAAGTCAGGGAGCATGATACCTCTAGCTTTGTACTTCTTTCTTAAGACTGCTTTGGCAACCCAGGGTCTTGTGGTTCTCTGCAAGTGTTAGAGTGTTTATTTTAGTTTTGTGAAGAATGTCATGGGTACATTTAGTTGTGTTTTTTTTTCAGTTTCTTTCATCAGTCCCTCACAGTTTTAAGTATACATGTGTCCCTCATCTCCTTGGTTAAATTTATTCCTGAGCATTTTAGTTCTTTCTGATGTATTTAAATATTTAGTCACTATTCAGGTTTCCCAAATTACCTAATGTTCAATATGTTTGTTAAACTCAGGATCAAAATAAGGTAAAAGCTGCACTTGGTTGGTCCAGGTTTTTAAGTTTTCTTTAATGTGCAGACTCTTCCTTGTTTTATTTTTCTTGCAGTTTGTTTCTTGACAGGTTAGCCTGGTTCATCTCCCAGTCTGGGCTCTGACAGCTCTGCCTCGTGGTCCCGTCTCTGTCCTCCTCTGTCCCCTGTGTCATTGGGTAGATCTTGAGGCCTGGCCTGACTCGGGCTCGATTTGCTGGCCAGGGGCCTCATGGGAGGTGGATATTCTGTCCACTGGCTTGGTAGGGCTTCAAGGGAGCAGAGGCGTTTCAATTCAGTCATTCCTTGCCCATTGGTAATGCAGCTGCTTTGAAAAAGTGTCTTCTACAAAGAGTGCTGTGTCCTCTGAAGTCACCAGGGGACGTGGAGTGAATGTTGTGCAGGAAAGTGAGATCCAGGGTTGATTTCTGGATCCTGTACTGTCGGCATGGAGTAGCTCTGGTTTTTGTCTCCCTGTGAACTAGTGGTTGTAGTAACTATATTTATATGTCAGTGGGAGCCTCTCTGGATTGGCTCCTGAGTCCTCTCAACACACCTCTGGGTTCTGAGGGGTCACATGGAGAGCAGGAAGCTGGATGCCAGGGGGTGGGGGGCATCTCATGTCCCACACCTGGCACAACTGGGACCCTTGGGGCCCTGCTGTCTCCGAGAAGTGGACTTGGGGCCACAGTCTGGGCAGTAAAGAGTAGGAACCGGACAGAGCAGATCCTCTGCCTGTAAGATCACCCACAGCGTGCGTGAGTTTATGCTGCTGGTTCCAACTCAGGTTGAAGGCCTCAGAGTTTTCCTTGTCTCTCTGACCTTTCTCCATGATGAAAGGTTGCAATGATGATGACTCCAGCAGAAGTAATCATGTCCTGGCGCCACGCTGCATACACTCCAGTCTCCATGCAACCTCTCAAGTGTGAGGTTTCGAGCACAACTTAGGATGTTTTTTCAATTCTTTTTGCCAATAGGGTGTATCCCTCTAGGACGGAATCAGTCAGATTGCTGTGTTTAAAGTCACTTTAAGTAGATTCTATCTGAGGGGTGTGCCAACCTGATCCACTTGGATTGAGTTCATTTGTTCTATTTTACTGTCAGTTGTTAGGGATTGGTTTTTAAGTTTTAAGTTTTTTGGACATAAAATATTTACATGGTTCCAACTCTGAAAGCAAAGTGTATTCAGAGGAGCCTGGCTTCTGTCCTCTGTCCACGCTTCTTCCACAGGAAGTCAGTGTCTGCTTTGATGGCTTTTTCTAATGTGAGCAGTTACAGATTTATGTTGGAGTGTGCACATGCACACGTGTGTATAAATGCTAGGAAATGCACAGCTGTCTCACCATGTTTCTCTTAGCAAAACGCCCCAGAGGTCATGGTCTGCTTGACCTTTGGGTTTGGGTGTTCTGACCCTCCTGTAGCTCCCAGCCTGGAGTTGGTCACATGTGCTCAAGCACAGGCCCCTGTCTCATGCTCCTTCCAGGCCATCGACAGCATCCACCAGGTGGGCGTGTACTGTCTGGCCCTGGTTCCTGCCAACACCTTGCCCAAGGCTCCTCTCGGTGGGATTCACGTTTCTGAAACCAAGCAGCGCTTCCTGGAGGGGATGCTGCACCCATGTAATGTGTTGATGTGCCCTCACACATGTGTTACCAACCTTCCCAAGCCTCGGCAGAAGCAGCCAGGTTAGTGCACGTCACAGCACATCTACTGCGACTGTAGACAGTGGCAGCCACGCTTGTGTTTAAGGGTGCAGGCCTGTTGAACCCTCTGTCCCTGGGGTTGGAGCTGAGAGCCAGAGTGAACAGCACAGCAGGTCAGTCCCCACCTCCTGCTCCCTGGAAGGAGCCCATCTCCACGCCCCAGTGTGGGGGGCCCACGTGGCACTGGATGTGGCCTGGAGGCTGCACGGTGGCCCCAGGGGCAGAAATGATGCCCAAGAGCAGACCTGGAGCTTGGGATCTGAAGAGCCGCGGGGCGGCCACCACAGCCAGCCGTGGGGGCCAAAGGCACTGTGTGTGCTGCCGCTCAGCACTGCGATCTGCCGCAGCAGCCAGGCAGCGCCGGGGAAGCTTCCCTTCCCTGGTGGGACTCTTACATGTGTTCCGTTCCTTTGGCAGTGTAAGTCTTAAGTAAATGCTAATGACTTTTGTTGATTATTAAATATATAAAATACCATTAAGTCAAGCACATTTAATCAGTAAAACAATGAAATGTACTGTGAGTTTAGCTGTGGCTAAGGCCGGGATATCCGCCTCATGCTGAATGTGTTAATCGGGTTCACTTCTGAGAGCGAGGTTCTCTCTGTCACTCAGCACCACCCTCCTACCTGGTTCCTGACCCTGTATTGTAGGTAAGAGGGAGTTGCCTGCCCGTTCAGAAGGTTACCTGTCAGAGTCATCGCTTCTCACTCAGGTCCCCTCGTGTTCCAGAGGTTGGACCTGCCTCCATGATCGTTGGGAACCTGGTCGCCGGGAAGAGAATTGCTCAGGCCTCAGGGAGGGAGCTGTCTCACCTGGAGGACAGTGACCAGGCGAGGAAGGTAAGGGGGTGGTGTGGGGGGAGGTGGGGCCTTGACCCTTCCCCACCCAGGGGTGGGATGGGGCTGAAGAGGTGCCTGGGACGGCCCCAGGCCTGACCCCTCCCTGCCTCTCCCGCAGTTCCTGTTCCTGCCCGATGTGCTGCAGTGGCGGGCCCACACCACCCCCGAACACCCGCTGTTCCTGCTGCTCAATGCCAAGGTGAGGCGGGCACTGCCGCGGTGGGCGAGGGCCCATGTCACACTCCAGCCACGTGCTCAGGTCTCCCCGGAGGACAGCGCTCCTTGACCTCCAGGCGCCCGGCAGGCGTCACGTTTGTTAGTCGCTCAGTCATGTCCGACTCTTTGTGACCCCGTGGACTGTAGCCAGCCAGGCTCCTCTGTCCATCGCATTCTCCTGCAAGAATACTAGAGTGGATTGCCATTTCCTTCTCCAGGGGATCTTCCTGACTCAGGGATTGAACCCAGGTCTCCTGCATTGAGGGCAGACTCTTTACCGTCTGAGCACCAGGGACATCTGGGTGGTGTCATTCTCTTCGTGAAAACCTCAGCTTCCACACAAGCCACAGTCACATTTCTGTGGATTTGTATTTAACAGGGAAATTCTCATTACCTTGTATTTCGATTATGAAGAGCATGCTTATAAATGGGGCTTCGCTGGTGACTCAGATGGTAAAGAATCTTCCTGCAATGCAGGAGACCCAGTTACTATCCCTGGGTCGGGAAGATCCCCTGGAGGAGGAAATGGCTCCCCACTTCAGTATTCTTGCCTGGAGAATTCCATGAACAGAGGAGCCTGGTGGACTTCAGCCCGTGGGGTTGCAAAGAGTTGGACACAGCTTAGTGACTGACACTTACACTTTTCACTTTCACACATGTAAATTCTCCTAAGTAAACTAAAAACAAATGTTTATTTTGTAAAAAGTACTTTAGACCTTCTTCCTTTGTTTGTAGCTGTAACACAACAAATAGGGCTTACAGCCCTAATCCTAGTAACTTTCAGTGGGTGTTATATGGTACCAGGAGCTTCTCAGGTTTAAAGGAGAAACTGTAAGTTATGGGCCAGTAGACAAACTATGAAAACAGAGAGTAACCACGACCACTTTGCACGACTCACTGTTACATGTGTCCCGGCCCGGGAGGACGCGTTTGCTCTGACGTTTTAGCAGCTCCAGTCTGGTTCTCAGAACTGCTTACTGTTGGCCACTGTTTCTTCATTCAAAAAATATTGATCAATATCTGCTACATATACAGTGTTAAATAAGATTTTTTTTGAAAAGGCCCCTGTTCCCCAGACGCCGAAGCAAGTCTTCCTGCTAGAAAACCAGTGCTCAGGAGAGGTGCTGTCTTGCTGCTCACATGTATCTGCAGACCTGGACAATGTTCTGGAGACATTTGTTTATGATTGATTGAATTTCGAAGCCAATAAGTAGCATTGACCAAGATAAAGTCAGCTTGTGGGAGAACCTTAAGATGGGTGCAGCCGGGACTCTAAGGCTTGCGAGGCTGGGTACTGGGTTTACCCTCGGTGTGTGCTGGGGACCTGGATGTGAGCCTGAGGGTGTGATGGTTTAGTTTAGTTGCTAAGTTGTGTCCAACTCTTGCGACCCTGTGAATTGGGAACCTACCAGGCTTTTCTGTCCATGGGATTCTCCAGGCAAGAATACTGGAGTGGGTTGCCATTTCCTCTCCAGGGGATCTTCCCAACCCAGGAATCGAACCCAGGTCTCCTGCATTGCAGGCAGATTCTTTACCGTGATGGGGTCCACAATTCTGGGTGATTCCTATGGGTTGTAAGAGGCTGAGGATGGGAGCAGGGGGCCAGGGCTGTGGTCTAGGCACAAGCTAGCCATTCAGAGAAGAGGACAGGGGCTGTGGATGAGTGTGAGGTGTGGTTGGAGACAGACTTGTGAGGGCGGCCTGGGTGCAGACCAAGTGTCTGTGCAGATGAGGCGTTTCCCAGGGAGGAGGGACCACCGGTGGGAGTGTGCAGAGACACCACCAGGCCTAGGGTCGGCCACCAGTGCTCACAATTGTCTTTACAGCTAAGAGCTTGGGAGGGCCCTGCAGATCCTTTCCAAAACCTTGGAAATATTTGCATTTCTTCTGGTTTGTCAGCCTCCTCAGGTTTGAATTGTCCTTAGGACCTGAGGATGTGCTGGCCTTTGACCTGGGAGGAAGCCTGTGCCTCTGCGGGTGGTGTCCCTGGCATGAGGTGGCCCCTGGCCTTGGGGACTGGCAGAGCTCTGGGCCTTCGGGCTCCAGCGTGTGCCTGGTGTGGCGCTCTGAACCTCAGCTTGGGTGTGAGGAGTGAGTCTGACCCACCGTGTGAAGCCCCCAGGCCTGCGTGCTGGGGCCCCAGCCGAGGAGTGGTGAGAGTTTAGATACTCCGCTGGGCCGTCCTGGAGGGTAGTGGTGGTTAGTTAGGCTGAGTGACACTGTGATTCTCCTGAGGACCGAGAGCATGGGGTCGGCAGGGGGAGGGAGGGCTAGATTGGAGCTAGTCCCGGCCCAGCTGTCCTCTGCAGACCGGGTGTGGGGTAGCCCTACCAGCCACCCGTCCACCCAGGCTCCCTGAAAGACCCACCTGTGGTGACCCAGGGCTTGGAGCTGGTGGGTGGGGCAACTGAGCGTGCGTCAGGGTTCAGTTCAGGGATGTTTGTTTACTGCTTACTATTTACTTATGTATGTTGATGTCCAGGAAAAGGGCTGCTTCTAGAGAGGGAAAGGATAGAATTGGGGGTGTATGTGGAACGGTGATGATTTATTTTATAAAAGAGACATTGAAACAATGTGGCAGAACACTAGGTAATGAAAAAGTGGATGGCTGCTCGTCACATTGTTCTTTACAGTATTTTTATATGTAAAATATTTTGTCATAAGAGCCGAAAGGGCTTCTTCACTCGCCAAGTCTGCCTGTGGTGGGCAAGCAGTCTCTGGGAGGCACAGAGGCCAGGGAGACAGCAGGCAGAGCTCGGGTGGCACCCATCCTGGCCCCTGGCCGCAGGCTGCACGTGGAGTGTCCACGTTCCCCACCCCCGCGCCCGGCTCAGCGTGCCCACGATTGCTTTCCTAGGGCACAGTCACCAGCACGGCAACCTGCGTCCAGCTCCACAAAAAGGCCGAGCGAGTGGCCGCTGCTCTGACGGAGAAGGCAAGGCTCAGCGCCGGGGCCCATGTGGCCCTGGTCTACCCTCCAGGTAAGACCCATGGGCCCTGCCCCCACCCTCGCCCGCCCTCTGTCCATGTCTGTACCCTGTGAGCACCCGCGGTGAGCTGTGAGTCCAGCCCTGCCCGTCGAGGTGCAGCCTGCCTTCCTCTTGCTCTTCTCACCAAGTTGTTCTTTCCCTCCCTCCCCCCACCCTGTTTTATTACCAAAAACAAAGCGACCAGGTCAGATGACGGATCTTGGCCTTTCCCGGCCCAACACCGGCTCCACTCTCCTAAAGTAGCCTCTGTCCTGACCTCCACGGTCATCGTTCCTCCCATTTCCTTATAGCTTGACCTCCCACAATAAGCATCGTTGTCATCACAGTCCAGTCCAGTTCTCTTCAGCTCTGATACATTTTTAGTCTCCTGTGACCTGCAGGCTGTCCTCTTTCCGTCTCTCCCTGGGCCCTGAGCATTCCTGCTGTCTGGAGTGGCTTGTGTGTGCCGGGCGGCTTCTCCTGGGCTCCCACGAGGAACCCTGCATCAGATTCACTCCCCTCGCAAGACCCTGAGCGCCCTTGGGTGCTTCCTCCTCTTGTAGAATTAGCACATTGGCACCTATCCATGAGCTTGTCCCACGCTCATTAACTCCTTAAGGGTCACTAAATGGTGGTGTGTTAACTCTGACCAGCCATAAAACTAAACAGACACTTCCCCTGATTAGGATCTGGTCACCCAGTGGTAGAATTCGCTGTGAGAGGCGGGATGCTGCGTCTCTGCTGCTGTCAGTGAAATGAGCTCTGCGCCCTTTCGCACCCCCGTGGGAGCTGCTCCTGGGCCCTCGGGTGTGACCTCCCATCCTGACCTTGCCTCTTTCATCTGCTGGAACCAGGTGCCTAGCCAGCTCTCCATGGAGCCTGGTGTTGGCAGCACCAGACTGGGCACTGGGAGCTCATCCTTCCTGGGCTGGCCGCTGTCCCGTTAACCCTTTCTGTGATCAGAGTTCCAATTTGAAAATGAGAGTCATTGCTTCTCTTAGAGGCAGTGCCTCCTGAGTTCATGCTGTCCCATTCATTCAGACTCAGGATTGTAGGTTTTCACAGAACCTCGTCTCCATGATGTCTCTGTCTCCGTTTGTACTGAGGGTCTTGACTTCAGGCTGGGAGTCTGTAGAACTCACATGTGCCCAAACCACTCACATGCTTCATCCTGTGTCACATGCAGGACCCCCAAATAATGGCAGTCATACATGACTGCCCCACCCCCACCCCATGTGAGTTTTCACACAGGCTTCCTCCACCCACTTTCCCTGTGGCTGTGCTGTCTCACGGGGTGGTGGGGGACACTGCGAAGCTGGCCTCTCCTCACCCGCAGTCCGCCAGGCTTGTGTTCGGGGCCTTCCAGCCACGCACATGTCCTTCTTTCCGTTCCGACGGTACTGTTGCGTTGTCTCTGATGAGTGTCTCAGGAAGGTTCATGGGGACACTGTCCCCTGAGCTCTGGCCTGTTGCTGCCAGTCTGCACACTTTGTGGTGAGAGTCGTCCCTGCTGGGGCCTCAAATGTGCCCATTTTCTCCCAGCCTCATGCATCGGGTTGGACTATGATCTGTTTTTCTTCTTCTGTGACTCACTTGCACTTTTGCTCTCAGTGGTAGGACATTTTCCCTTCTTAAAGTCCACTGTGTGATTGTAACATTGTTACAGGTCAACGTTCCCACATGGAAGGCAGCTGTGCTCACCACCCTTCCTCCAGGCTGGGCCACAGGATGTGTCAAGTGCCTTTGAATACCAAGCTGCAAGCCTGCCTTCTAATCTCGGGGGAGCTTTCTCAAATCACAGAGTGTTCTCTCTTCCCTTGCTTGGATCGTCTTGGCGTTCTTTCTCCTTGCTGCTCCCATCGCGCGTGTTAGCTCTTCTCTGCCATTTTCCACCTTCTCTGTGTCCCTGTCTTGTTTGCTCTTGGGCTCCTTCCAGTTCCATCTCCATTTCTGAATTGTTTTTTAAAATAACTTCTAGTTCTTTCCTCATTTGTTTATTTCTCATTTTGGTCATTCTCTTATATCTTGTATCATTTTCTTAATGTATTGCATCTTAGCACATGCTAAAAGGGCTGCAGTTCTTATCTGCTTTGTCTGGACAGATGATGATCGACCTCTGGTTCTTTTTCTTGTACCTTGTGTGGGACTTGGCCACGGTCAGGGAGCCTCCCTTCTCCTTTCTCCTTCTCTGCCCTGCCATGGGCTGTCCCAAGCTGGGCTGGATTGCTGGTCCCAAGTCCTCAGCTGCTCTCTGATCAGACCCACAGGGGTGGGGACAAGACAACCTCCTCCGGGACCTCCCTGATCAGGATGGCCATGCCCCTAAGGGCTCCAGATCCTCCCCGACTCCCTCCAGCCCCGGCTGCCCAGTGCAGCCCGACACCCCGTCCTTGCGGCAACTCTGTTCCGCCTGCTGGGTGCTGCTCTGACTCTCCTGCCCCTCTGCCCTGTCCTCTCCTGTCTTGTCTTGGGGTTTCAGTCCTGGCAGTTTTTCTCCTGTGTCTGGCGCCCAGGTGAGGGGCACTCAGAAGACCCTGCACTTTTCAGTGGCAACCTGTCCTTCCCTGAGCCAGGAATCCCAGGTTTCTGCAAGTGCTTCCACAGGGTTACAGGGGATGATCACCGCCCACCCTCCCCTCCCCTCCCCACTTCCTGTGTTTGTGGTCCTTTCACTTGGAAGCTTGTTGGTTCCAGCTCAGGAGTTTTACAAGGAAATGCCCGGGTCTGGGTCCTCTCTCACTTTCTTATCCACTTAATCCTCATCTCAGAAAAATGTTCTTTCTCGTTACTGCTTTTTCTTCATCTTTTTCCTGCTTCTGGAATGCCGGAGTCCTGTTTTGGGGGCTGTTCTCTGAGACCCAGGTCTCCTGCGTGATGGCTTCCTTCATGTGTCCTCGGTGCCACTCCTGGGAACCCAGCCCTGCAGCACCGTCTCCCTTCAGCGTGTCTGCTGGGACGTGACTTGTGCTGGGCACTTTCTCTGCTGGTAAAATCCCGGGGCTGCTGTGGAGTTCTTCCCACACAGAGCCTGGCTGGTTTCTTGACACGGATGCTAGGTGACGTGGATGCTCCAGGATTCCCATTGGCATTGCAGTTACTCCTGCTGGTTCCAGTTCCAGGAGTGTGAGGTCATTTTTGTCCAGAACTGATGGCAGTTCCCATTCTTTCCTTATCCTTGGACGCAGTGCAGGGCACGCACCACTGACCGAGAGGAGGCACGGGGGACACACGGGCAGGCTGGGGAGGGGGCGGGTGGACATGCTGAAGTGACAGGAGGAAAGGAGGAAAGACGGATGGGGGCCTGATGCTGCTCTCTGCTTTGGGGCATTTTTGACACTATTCGTAAAAAGTGATAGTGCATGGTGAAGGTCTGAGTGTACATTTTAAAAACTTCGTAGCAGGAGGAGAGTGTGATTGACAGCTGGAGGGCAGACCACACCCTGCTCGAGGTGGGAGGGGGCAGGTGTTTGCAGGTGCACATAGGACCTGGTGTGCATCTCCTGTGAGGGGTGTGTGACCCTGCAGGAGCTGCAGGAAGTGGGGTGCAGGCAGGGGATAGCGGGAGCTGCATGAGCTCAAGGGTTCGAGCTGCTGGCGGTGCTTTCTGTGTGGCGCGTTGGGCAGGGTGGCTGTGCTGGTGTGAGGATGCTCGCACATGTCAGCCTGCCTGTCAGCTCATCTGTCCCCTGAGCTGCCCACAGGCACAGTGAGGATGGCTGGTCCCTGGTGGGGGAGCCTGGGCTGTAACAGTGACCACACTGAGCGCCCCTGGCCCTGATGGAGCATCGGGGACTTGTAGTGTGGTGAAACCCACGGGCTGGGTCAAACACTACATATTTATTTTGACTCAGGAATCAAAACAGCCTGAGCCTGATGTTTTGTAGCCTAGTGATGCCAGGCAAGGCCTTGTCTCAGTTGAGGGCAGTGTCTTCAGGGTGTGGGGTGCAGGTGGTCTTAAGTATGAATGAGGTCAAAATGGGAAAGCTAGATTTTAAGTGTGGTTCGGTTCCCCCTGGTTTTAATTACAGAGAATTTTAAATACATAGACGAGTTGAAGGAGCTGTGAGTGGTCCCACATTGTGTTGAGAGATTGAGAGCAGGGCAGGGACATCCTGGCCCCTCCCTGGGGGTGTAGGTCTCCCCAGGGAAGGACTAGCCCCCACGTTAGGGTGGAGCTGCAAGGAGGAGGTGTGGCGTTTCTGGGGTGGGCAGCTCACCTTCAGAGTGTCCTGCCAGCCTCACCCACCCACCTACAGACTGCCCCGGAGGGCAGAACGCGCTGCTCCACGAGGCCTGGGCCTCCCGTCCGCCACGGGCTCCTCTGGGCTATGGCTGCACCCCACCCACCCCCTTGTCTCCTTGGATCTGGGCCGGGGCGACCTGTCCCTCCCAACAGAGCTGTTTGGGGTGCACACTGTGGTGCGAGGAGGGTGGTGTTGTTCACACACAGTAGGTGGACCCACAGCCTGGACATTTGGGGCTGCCTTTGACCCGCTGACACCCTCTGATCGTGTCTCCCCAGGGGTGGACCTCATTGCTGCCTTCTACGGCTGCCTGTACTGCGGCTGCGTGCCTGTCACCGTGCGGCCCCCACACCCCCAGAACCTCGCCACCACACTTCCTACTGTCAAAATGATTGTGGAGGTAGGTTGGCATCGCGGCCTGACTGTGGTGGGCCTGAGCGCGGTGTGCTCCCAGGCGCTGTCTCAGCTGTGCCCTCAACCCTGTGTCCTGCAGGTCAGCAAGTCTGCGTGCGTGCTCACCACGCAGGCCATCATGCGGCTGCTCAGGTCCAAAGAAGCAGCGGCCACCGTGGACGCCAGGACCTGGCCGACCATTCTGGACACAGGTGTGTGTGTGCTGCCCTTAGGATCAGCCGTCTCCTTCCTTTGTTGCAGGGATTGCGCTGTCACCACCCAAACACAGAAGCTGGGTGAGGAAGCTTGAGTAGGTGGTGAGAGGAGCCTGGCCAGTGGGGTACTGGCAGCCCATCCAGCACCTTGAGCCTAAAGCAGGTGCCCAGAGTGGAGGGTGGCCAGTGGGGAGCAGAGGTCCTTCCGAGGCCATGAGCCTATAGACAGACGCCTCCTGCTGCACTCAGCGCCCTGCTGCACGCAGCAGTGGGCAGTTGTGGGGACCAGACCGCTTCCACAGTGCATACCCCTGCCGGGTTGCCAGGAGAGTCACACGGGCCCTCTGCCTGGGCCTGCTGGGTCAGCCTGAGGGTTGAGAGGGTCCCAGCCCCTCCCTGTCAGGACACCCCAGACCAGCCGCTTTCTGCAGGCTCTGTGGGGAATTCAGGGTACACGGCCACACAGGTGCCTGCTGGCGAACAGACAGGGTCCCTCCTTCCCCATCATGCCTGTGGGTGTGGCTGCCTGTCCTTACCCACCAGGGCACCGCCCACAAGAGGAGGTTTAGGACCATGTGTCCATGACCACCTGCTTGATACCACTATAGGCTCTGGGAGCTGGCCCGGGCTGCTGGTGGCAGGGGGTCTGGGGTGGGCTCGGGGCAAACAGGCTCGAAGGAGTCCTGTTGCCTCACTCGCTCCCTGCCCCGCCTCACCTGTGCTCACCTGTGCATGGCCAGCGCTGTGCCCCGTGGTCCTGAGGGAGTGGGATGAAGTTGGGTGAGGGAGCTTGACCCAACTTCTCAGTGCTCACTGCGCAGAAGTGGCAGTGAGCCTGGCTCATCACAGGCTCCGGGACCCAGCCGAGTCTCTGCTCCTCCGAGGTCCTGGGAGGGCTCTCACGGGCTGCCTTCTCCCGTCTGTGTCCACCACACCCACTGTCAGCCGCCACACACTCAGTGTGGTTAGCGAGGGTCCTCTCCACGTGGCCTCCCCCATGTGCACATGCAGCCTGACCTGTGCTCTGAGCTCCCTGCTCCCCTTTGCCTGCGAGCACTGAAGTGGCACCCCTACCACCTGTGTCTCCTGGTCCCCAGATGACATACCCAAGAAGAAGGTGGCCAGCATCTTCAGGCCCCCGTCCCCGGATGTGCTCGCGTACTTGGACTTCAGCGTGTCAACGACAGGGATCCTGGCAGGTGTGAAGGTAGGTCCTCTGGCTGGAGCCCCCGTCCGCTTCATCCCTGACACAGAGGGTGCTGATGCGGGTCTCTGCAGGCCCTTCTTCCTCCCAGAGCTGGAAGCAGCAGTTTTGCTCCTTAAAGTTTGTGTTAAATATCAATAAACCCCCAAATCAGGTTAGCCTGAAGAGTAATGCATGTCTTGATGTTTAATGGTGATACCTAAACTTTCTGATTCATGACTCTGGCCTCAACAACCAAGTGGCTTGGATGAGTCTGTCACCAAAAGCTCTGTTAAAATTCTTTATTGCCCTGAAGTCTCGCCTAGAAGGTTTTTAGCGTGCATTCCTGGGGATCTTTTGGTGCATGTGGCTTTTACTCCTTCAGATGTCGCATGCGGCCACCAGTGCCCTGTGCCGCTCCATCAAGCTGCAATGTGAGCTGTACCCGTCCAGGCAGATCGCCATCTGCCTCGACCCCTACTGTGGCCTCGGCTTCGCCCTGTGGTGTCTCTGCAGGTGGGTGGAAGGTGGATGTGCGGGTGGGTGGAGGGTGGGTGTGCAGGTGGGTGGAGGGTGGATGTGCAGGTGAGTGGAAGGTTGGTGTCAGGTGAGTAGAGGGTGAGTGTACAGGGGGGTGGACTGTGGGTGTGCAGGTACAGCTCCACCCACTCCTCCTTACCACCTGCTAGCTGAATTGCTTCTCTAAAGTTCCCCCCCAACCCATATCTCTGAGATACATTGTTAAGGGTCCAGGAAGCAGAGGATACATGTGTGAGTGGCTGGAGTGTGGGTCTGAAATTGAGTTAAAGGGTAAAAGTGCATTTTTATTAAATGCACACTCTCTGTTACTACCATTCCATCCAGGACAGGGAAGTAGGGACCCATCTTCAGGAGGAGAAGCCAGCCCTGCCCGCAGCGGGCCCCTCACAGTGACCCCGGGTCCTTGAATGTGGGTCGGGGGGACCTGCGTCCCACGGGCGGGTGAGCAGAGCAGGAGGGGCACTCTGCCTGGAGGGGCAGATCCCTGAGGGGCGGGATGCGGTGCTGACCCGCCCTGTCGCTGCCCCAGCGTCTACTCGGGACACCAGTCGGTACTGGTGCCCCCGCCGGAGCTGGAGACCAACGTGTCCCTGTGGCTGTGGGCCGTCAGCCAGTACAAGGCGCGCGTCACCTTCTGCTCCTACTCCGTGATGGAGATGTGCGCCCGGGGCCTGGGCGCGCAGACGGCGGCGCTCAGAGTGAGTGCGGGGGGCCTGGAGAGCCCCCAGGGCCAGTTCCGGAGGGAAGAGGGGGCTGGAGACAGAAAACCCTCCCAGAGGGCCCTGCCCTGCGCTGAGAGCTCCACCCCCACGCATACCTGCGGAGCTCCTGCAGCGGCCCCTCCCTTCTTCTGGGGTCTAGTGGTCTGAGGCCTAGTGGTCCCCAGGGCCTGGGGCTGGAGTGTCGCGGCGGAGGACGGGTGTGGGGGCGCAGAGGCGCAGACCCCAGGGGCTGGGGCTCCGTGCGGTTCGGCCCTTGAGCGCAGATGCAGGCATGGCACACGCGCTCCTCCCGCAGATGAAGGGCGTGAACCTGTCGTGTGTGCGCACCTGCATGGTGGTGGCTGAGGAGCGGCCCAGAATCGCGCTCACACAGTCCTTCTCCAAGCTGTTCAGAGACCTGGGCCTGCCCGCACGCGCCGTGAGCACCACGTTCGGCTGCAGGGTCAACGTGGCCATCTGCCTCCAGGTAAGGCAGCGGGGCTTCCTCTGGGCGCCTGTGCACACCCTGCGCTGCCCTATCCTCTGGTCCCTTCTGCCCTCCAGCCTTTTGCATTTTCTAAATATGGCTTTGAGAACTGAGCATTTTCGTTTAAAAAAGATTCTGTTCTTGATGAACAAAGGCTTATTTGGAAAAAGGGCAAGTTTTCGAAAAGTGACAATTACGGAGAGGAATTTATAAGCTGGATACAGTATGTAACTAATATTCTAAAGCAAGATTAAATTTATTGCTTTGTAAGACACCTGGCAATTTTAAATGAAAACATTAATGAGTGTGATAATTTATATTGCCCTAAATTCATTCTTGAAACACTGAGGTATTTTACTTTTTAAAAGGAAACAAAATTTCAGAACAACTCATTATAGCAGTGGTATTCTGCTTCTTCAGGGGCCTGGGGCTCTTTTCCAGGCTAGTATCTCAATCCCTGTTCTTTCTAAAATGCATTGCATGCACCTGCTCCCGCATTCAGGGTTGTTGGGAGGAAAGGCCTCAGGAGAACCACAGTCCCTCATCCCCCAGCCCCAGTCCTGACCAATGCCTGCCGGGCGCAGGGCGTGTCTGGACTGGGGAGATCAGTGTCCTGTTGTCCAGTTCCTGAGACACCCTCTCCACAGTATAGATGGCTGACCGTCCAGGTCTCGCTTGGACCCTTACCGAGTGGCGGGAAGAAGTGGATGGGTCCCTCGGGAAATCCCTCCTGATGTCGATGGTGCCGCTGCACCTCGACGGGTGGTGTGGGGGTGGTGGCCGTAAGCGCAGCCCTGTGTCCGCTCAGCGTCTGGGAGCCGGTCCTCCTTCCTGGCTGTTGCTGTGTGCACTTCGAGATGCAGTGATGCGTTTTGCTCTCTCTCAGCTCCTTCCTCACGTGCCTGTGCTCTCTGTTTGTGTTTCCTGTGGCGTCTCTTCCCTGTCTCGCTCTGCTGGCCTCCTTTGTGTCTGTCAGCCCAACAGGCTGGGAAAGCTGGCTGAGCAGGTATGACCTTGACCTCGACCTCGAGGTGCCTCTGTGCTTCTGTGAGTCCACGTGGCCTCTCGTGGTCTCTCTCCTTTGTAAAAATGAGTTTAAGAGCAGAGTAGTTTCAGAAGTATTTAGCATTCACAGTCTGCTGCCTCTGGAGGAAGAGCCGTCTTCATTCCAGGACAGACGTCGGTGACGTTGTCTGGGATCGCCAGAGGATGGTGTTGGGGCAGAGTGTCGGTGTAGTTTGACGTTCAGTGTCTAACAGAAGGGATGGGCTGTCCTCTGTCAGGGCCAACGTCAGGTGTCAGGTGAGAGGAGCGGAGTGGCAACATCATTGAGCATCCTGCTGAGGCCTCGCCCCTGGAGGGGCCGCGCTGTGCTCAGCCCTCAGAGAATTAGGTCCGAGCAAGCACGGCTCAGGGACATGCCCCCAAACCCACGGTGGTGTTTTCTCAGGGACCGGTGGGAATCGAAGCTGTTGGGACTGAAATGTGAGATTGTTTGACTTGATCTCTCCCTTCAGTGCTGGGGGAGGTTTCCCGCCACGTCAGCAAGTCTTGTAGGTGTTTGGAGGAAGGCAGACGCCTGCTGAGGGCAGAGCAGTTGCCTTCTGCCCCCCTGGCTGGGAGGAACTGTGCCTGTGTGCATGCCACACCCCTGGAAACAGTGGGCGGGAGGTTTGAGTGAACGTTCCTCTGCTCCCCTTGCAGGGCACAGCCGGCCCAGACCCCACAACTGTCTATGTGGACATGCGGGCACTGCGCCATGACAGGTAACAGCCCCCGGCCCCCTTCAGCCTGGCCCTCCCCTGCTCACTGTGTCCTTCCTTTTTAAAATAAGTTATTTTATTTATTTATTGGCTGTACTGCGTCTTCACTGCAGTGCTCAGGCTTCTCATTGCAGTGGCTTCTCTAGTTGCAGGGCACAGGCTCTAGGTGCTTGGGCTCAGTAGTTGTGGCACATGGCCTTAGTTGCCCCTCAGCATGTGGGATCTTCCCGAACCAGGGGTGGAACCCATGGCCCCTGCATGGGCAGGAGGATTCTTAACCACTGGACCACAGGGAAGTCTCACCATGTCCTCCTTTAATCAGTCATTTCCACGACCAGGAGGGGAACGACCTTCCAAGAGTGACCGAGCATTTGACACTTGGATTTTTATGGGTAAAAAACAAGAAGACCCGTCTCCAGGCAGGATGTAGGCATCCTGTCAGCAGATGTGTCCTGGGGGCCACGGTGTGTGTGCCTACAGGTCTGGGTCCCTCCCAGCTTTAGAGCCAGATCCTGGTTCTGACCCTCACATTCAGCTTGAGGGAAACCATGTTGGACCTTCCTGGAGGGCGAGGCCAGCTGGCCAGGGGCTCCTGTCCTGAGCGCTGCTAGTTGAGCCAGGCACCTGAAGTCACTGTCCCAAGGTCACAGCAAGATCATGATCGAAGGCTAAAGGCTTGGCTGTCGTCATGGGACTGGCCGTCACAGTGCTAATCAATTCTGATTACCTTATGAGTTGCCTTCTTTAGAGATTGTTGTCTGTGTAGTCAATTTTATTTGTTTTCCTTGTTCATTTATAGGGTACGTCTGGTGGAACGGGGTTCTCCGCACAGTCTGCCATTGACTGAGTCTGGAAAGGTAGTGGCGTGGGGCTTGGCTTCCAGCTTATGTCCCCTGAGGTCCGGCTGGCCTCACCTCCTTGCATACACACACACACACACACATACACACTCGCACACACACACAGACACACATACTCACATGCATTCACACAATCACATACACAGGCACACACGCTCAGACACACTTACACATCCTCACATATAGGCACACATACACAGACACATACAGACTCATGCACACATACACACCCATACACGCACACTCACACACATACGCACACACACGTACATGCACACACACTCTCACCCACTCTCTACATCTTTCTGTCCACATCTGAGCTCCAGCCCAGAGGGAGGACCTCAGATGCAGACCTGCAGGAACAGCATTGCTGGGTCTTGAGGCCCTGGTGCCTTTGTGCGGTCTGGAGCAGCCCCCTGGGGCCTGGAAGAGCTTCTCCCCTGGCTCAGGTGACAGCCAGGCAGTATCCCCAGTGGCAGTTCAGCATTAAAGCAGCCCAGGCCTGGTTCCAGTGCAGGAGCTGTGCAGGGGCTTAGGTGGTGGGGCCCTGAGGCCACCCAAGGGCACCCAGGGAAAGACTGGGCCACCACGAGGGCTCAGCAGGCATAGACCCAGGAGAGCAGGCATCTTCAGAACCAGGGGAGGTTTGGAGGAAGGAAGAAGGCTCCCAGGAGCGGTCAGGCAGGGTGAAGGGGGAGGGACTTGAGGGGGCCGCGCGGCAGAGCAGAGCCAGCACAGCTCCCGGCCCTGCTCACACAGGCTGTGCGCGTGCCTGCCTCAGGAGGCTGTGCCCAGAGAGAGACAGGGCAGCAGGGGCAGCACTGAGCGAGCCCGGGTGAGTGTGGGAGAGGAGCTAGTAAAGGCTGTGCACCCCCTGAGGGCGGCCCCAGAGGAGGAGCAGGGGCGTGGGGAGCAGGCTCAGCTGGTGTGAAGGTCCTGGGGCCACAGAGAGGCCAGTGTGGCTGGAGCTTCACGGACTAGAGGAAAGGAGGCAGTGTGTGGGTGTCGGAGGGAGGGGCTGGGGGCTGGAGATGGTCCCGGGCTCCCCCACCCTTCCCTGGGTGCACAGACATGTCCCACTGCCATCTGCATTGTCCTTTCTGTAAACATGGTGGTTTTTCTCAAAGCAGTTCTTAATTCTTTCTGGTACATTTTTTTCCTATCACATGTGGCTCTGCACTCAGTTTTTATGGACTTTCCCCCCTCCCCAGTATTTCTGTTACAATAACTTGCGCCTGATGTACTGGGGTTCTGGGAAGAGCTCTGGGTCCTCAGGGTCCAGGTTGGTAACATGGGGAGAGGTCAGAGGCTCAGCAGCATCCCATGGGCAACAGAGCCTGACCTGCCTTCCATGACCCCTCGCCTCTCTCCCACCTGCTGGAAATCTCCACCATCATCTCGTGTTTTATACCCAGGGAAACTAAGGACACAGAATAGATATTCAGAAGCAGCCAGTGTAGTCCCAGGTCCCAGCAGTCCGAGGTCCAGTGGGGCCCCAGGCCCCAGGTGGGGGTGCTGGACGTGAAGCACCCTCCCCCAGCCTTCTCCACAGCCTCTGGTGGGCATGGAGCCCCAAGTCTGGGGGCAGGAATACCTCTTGGTGGCCAGGTCTCCTTCCAGAACCAGATACTCTGGGGCCGGGTGGAGGCCCAGCAAAGCTGTGTTTGGACTCCCTGCCCTCAAGAGCCTGAGAGAGTCCTCAGGGAAAGATGCCCTCCTCCCCTCCCAGCATCCAGAGTAGAGTTCATTCTCAGGAGCTGGGTGATCTTGCTAAGAGTCACAGTTTATTTTTATTTATTAAAAGCTCTTATTTCTGTTAAAATTCAGTCAGATTTAGGTCGGCTTCTGAACCGAGTCACGTCCTTTAGATCAGCTTCGAAGGGCACTGTCTTTGCCACTCTCGCGTCAGGAGGGCCACGTGCCCTCTGATCAGCACGGTTCTCCTTCCAGATTCTCCCGGGAGTGAAGGTCATCATCGCCCACACGGAGACCAGAGGGCCCCTGGGAGACTCGCACCTGGGGGAGGTGAGGATGGGGACCCCACCTCTCGCCGGCTGCTGGGTGTGCATGCAGGTTGCTCCCTGTTCTTCCTCTGTGATGAACTGTGTACGTTGCAGCCCTGCAGCTCTCACTCCGGTCCACGGAGGGGAATGGTTTGTTTGAAGGAGAGAATTCTTTGCTCTCTGGGCCTCTGTCGTGACTTAGTTCAAGCGCCTTACCCCTACCCCACTGTGTGCTGCCGTGTCTTGGGACACATGGTGCCTGGCACTTGTGATGACCGACCCCCTTGTGTTCTGGGCCCCAGATCTGGGTGAGTAGCCCCCACAATGCCACCGGGTACTACACAGTCTACGGGGAAGAGGGGCTCCATGCCGACCACTTCAGTGCCCGGCTGAGTTTCGGAGACACCCAGACCGTTTGGGCGAGGACTGGCTTCCTGGGCTTCCTTCGAAGGACAGAGCTCACCGACGCCAGTGGAGGTGAGGGCTCCTTTGCAGTGCTCACCCCCAGTCCTGGGGCCGCCACAGCTAGGAGCCCATACAGGCAGTGTCTTGGGACCTCCTGCCAGCTCACCTCACCCCTTCCTAGGAGCAGGGTTCTTTAGGTGCTCTGATACGGTTTCTCTGAAAGTTGCTCCTTTTCCTTCACTCTTCCTGGATCCTGGCCTCTGCTGAGGGTGTGGGGGTACTGGGAGAGGCTGTTGGGCCCCCCAGGCAGAGCCATGGGCATGTCTCACCAGCCATGTATCAGTGCCTCCCCATACATCCCCCCAGGGTCACAGAGTCCACGGCCACAGCAGGCTGGCCAGATGCAGTCAGAGCTCTGGGAGCCCCTGTAGCCGCTGCCTCGTCTCCGAGACAGTAGGAGTTGTTGTTCTGTACTCTTTACACGTGGGCGCGCACGGCAGGAGGCTTCAGCAGGGAGCCATGCTGAGGCGGTGACCTGTGCCACCTGCAGAGCGACATGACGCGCTGTACGTGGTGGGGTCCCTGGACGAGACGCTGGAGCTGAGGGGCATGCGCTACCACCCCATTGACATCGAGACGTCCGTGATCCGTGCGCACAGGAGCATCGCTGAATGGTGAGGGCCCGGGGAACCAGCTGGCAGCTCTGGCGCGGTCGTGCACGTGTGGGCAGCCACCTCCTCTCCAGGAGCAGACCCCAGACACACTCTGCGAGTCACGCACCGGAGACCCCTTGTTTGGGTTTGCTTGGTTTTTCCTCTTCTCTTAATCAGTCTTAAACTAATAGTCTGTCCCCAGATGCACAGGCAAAATGTGAGTGCCCCACGGTTACTCTGAAATGTCTCTGCGTTTACATGGATTTCCTAATTTAAATGATCAAGACGCATGATTTCCTCACTTTATAGGGAGGTTGCATTGGGAAAAGTACAGCTTTCAATATCAAATAATATTCTTGATTTTTCTTGTTGTTCAGTTGTTAGGTTGAATCCAACTGTTTGTGACCTCATGGACTGCAGCATGCCAGGCTTCTCTGTCCTCCACTATCTCCTAGAGTGTGCTCACACTCATGTCCATTGAGTCGGTGATGTCATCCAACCATCTTGTCCTCTGTAGCCCCCTTCTCCTTCTGCCCTCGTTCTTTCCCAGCATCAGGGTCTTTTTTCATTGAGTGAGCTCGTCACATCAGGTGGCCAAAATATTAGAGTTTCAGCTTCAGCATCAGTCCTTCCAGTTGAAACTGGTTTTGATGTGATGTAGCCTCAGAGTGTAGGCTGTACCTGAGCTCATGGCTCTTGTGAGGAGAAAAATTCCCTCACCGGGCCAGGTGGATGATAGAGACCACTTGAGGCTTGTAGTGAGACTTTTGGACTCTGTGGGAGAAGGCGAGGGTGGGATGATTTGAGAGAATAGCATTGAAACATGTATATTATCAAGTGTGAAACAGATCGCCAGCCCAGGTTGGATGCATGAGACAAGTGCTCAGGGCTGGTGCACTGGGAAGACCCAGAGGGATGGGGTGGGGAGGGAGGTGGGAGGGGGGACCGGGATGGGGAACACATGTAAATCCATGGCTGATTCATGTCAATGTATGGCAAAAACCACTACAATATTGTAAAGTAATTAGCCTCCAACTAATAAAAACAAATGGAAAAAAAAAAGAAATAGAGTTTATTGAAAAGGAGCAGAGAAGACTTCCGTCACAGACATCAGAAGTGGGTAGAAAGAGTACCCACGTTGCTAACTTGAGCAGAAAATTATAAACTTTTCAGTTGGCTGCTAAGAATAGGTAAAAAGAATATCTCAAGATTGTAAAAGTTCCACGAGACCCTTTCCCAAGGCATCCTGAGATAACTTCAGTTTGAGATTAGCCAGAAGGAACGAGTTCCTGTTGAGGAGGAAAGCATGCCTTTAAGCAAGATATTGTTGCTATATAATTATTAACACGGTGCCTGCATGGCTGCTAAGATAGAATTTGGACCTCACCCCTTAGGGGCCTTGGACTACATATCAACCTGGCTGAAGGTAACTATATCACAATGAGAATTCAGGGTTGATTTCGTTTAGGATGGACTGGTTTGATCTCCTTGCTGTCCAAGGGACTCTCAAGAGTCTTCTCCAGCACCACAGTTAGGAAGCATCAATTCTTCAGTGCTCAGCCTTCTTTATGGTCCAGCTCTCACATCCATACATGACTACTGGAAAAACCATAGCTTTGATTATACAGACCTTTGTTGGCAAAGCAATGTCTCTGCTTTTTAATATGCTGTCTAGGTTTATCATAGCTTTTCCTCCAAGGAGCAAGTGTCTTTCAGTTTCATGGCTGCTATGATTTTGGAGCCCAAGAAAATACAGTCTGTCACTGTTTCCACTTTTCCGCCTTCCATTTGCCATGAAGTGATGGGACCAGATGCCATGATCTTAGTTTTTTTAATATTGAGTTTTAAGCCAGCTTCTTCACTCTTCTCCTAACCCTAACCCGTCTGGTCCCATCAGTTCATAGCAAATTGGAGGGGAAAAATGGAAGCAGTAACAGATGCTTCCTCCTTTGAAGGAAAGCTGACAAAGGTCTGTATAGTCAGAACTATGGTTTTTCCACCTGATGCAAAGAACGACTCATTAGAAAAGACCCGGGTGCTGGGAATGATTAAGGACAGAAGGAGAAGAGGGTGGCAGAGGATGAGATGGCTAGATGGCATCACCAACTCAGTGGACATGAGTTTGAGCAAATGCTGGGAGACAGTGAAGGACAGGGAAGCCCGCTGCACTGCAGTGCCAGGGATCATGAAGAGCTGGACACGACTTAGTGACTAAGCAACAACTGCATTCGGACTCTGGCTGACTCTGAGGACTACTCCATTTCTTCTAAGGGATTCGTGACCACGGTAGTAGATACAGTGGTCATCTGAATTAAATTCACCAGTTCTCCTCCCTTTTAGTTTGCTGATTCCTACGGTGTCAGTGTTCACTCTTGCCATCTCCTGCTTGGCCACTTCCAATTTACCTTGATTCACGGACCTAAGATTCTGGATCTCTACGCAATATTGTTCTTTCATCAGATGTTCTTTTCACCACCAGACCCATCCACAACTGAGCTTCATTTCCACTTTGGCCCACTGCTTTATTCTTTCTGGAGCTCTCAGTAATGCCTTCTGCTCTTCCCCGGTAGCCTGTTGGACTCCTTCCGACCTGGAGGGGCTCATCTTCTGGTGTCATATCTTTTTGCCTTTTCATACTGTCCCTAGGGTTCTCTAGGCAAGAATGCTAAAGAGGGTTGGTCTTCCAGTGGACCATTTTTTGTCAGATTTGTCTTGATTCTTGGCGAGAACTTTAATTGGAATAGATATTCCAATGAAACACACTTAGCCAAACCTTTGAATTGTAACTGACTTGAGCAGAGGATGACACCAGTGAACCTACTTCAGGATGTTTCAGTGGCCTCTGTCTGACATCATTTCCTGTGTGTCCTTGGCCCCTGAAGCCAGTGCCCAGCCCCATGTGACACCATTCGCCTTCTCCCTGCAGTGCCGTGTTCACGTGGACCAACCTGCTGGTGGTGGTGGTGGAGCTGGATGGGCTGGAGCAGGACGCGCTGGATCTGGTGGCCCTGGTGACGAACGTGGTGCTGGAGGAGCACCACCTGGTGGTGGGTGTGGTGGTCATCGTGGATCCGGGTGTCATCCCCATCAACTCCCGCGGGGAGAAGCAGCGCATGCACCTGCGTGATGGCTTCCTAGCCGACCAGCTGGACCCCATCTACGTGGCCTACAACATGTGAGCCCACTCAGCCCCAACCAGCTGGACCCCACCTGCGTGATGGCTTCCTAGCCAACCAGCTGGACGCCATCTACATGGCCTACAACATGTGAGTCCACTCAGCCCTGACCAGCTGGACCCCATCTATGTGGCCTACAACACGTGAGCTCATTCAGCCCCGGCCCAAAAGTGGCCTCGCGAGCCATCAGAGGGGCTGGGGTGCATTTGCATCCCCTGGGGAGAGGACCCCAGGCTCCTGAGCACAGGGCCCCCCCACGCACTTACATACCCATCTCAATCTAGAAACCACTTCCTGAATTACTCAAAACCTTTTAATCATCTGGGACATTTACAGAAACATGAATGTCAATATTGCAACAGATGGTGTGACTGGGGAAGAAGCCTGGTGCAGGCACTGCAGGTGCTGTAGGGTGTAATCCTCTGCTGTATTATGAATTTGCACTTTTTTTAGGCTAAAAATACAGTTCTTGATTTTAAAAATTCAACTCTTTATGACCATTTCAAATGACAAGGTCATACTTAGAATTTATGCCAGAAGGAGTTTGAGGCCCAAGGACAGCTGCTTCAGTTCTGATTCACAGGGAAGAGCAAAATACAGAAAGGCTGGTAGGCAGGGCAGGATCCTGGCCTGGCCCCCTCTTCCCCACCCCCGACCTGCTCTGGGCCCCAGACCAGGCTCAAGCGTACACACTTCCTCTCTGAACACAGGTATGCTGGCTGCCTGCCTGTGTCGTCTCTAACCTTGACAGGGTCCATCAGGTGAGCAGCTGTTTCAGAAAGATAAAGGAACGCTGAGTTTTAAACCTCTTTCTGAGTTTCTGACTTCTTGCTGTTCAGCTGAAGTGCTGATTTTCATGACCACAGTATAGGATCTTCTCGCTGTCCAAAAATGTACTGAGTTACTGTTTTTATTCCACATCAGTAGATGTGGACTCACCGGTGGACTGAGGATTACCCAAGCGGTGGTACAGCCTGGGGCCCGGGAGAACTTTGCTGGCCACTGTCGCATCCTGAGTTGTGTGCCTGTAAAATTTGGCCAAATCATGTTCACTTATTTTATTTGAACTCAACTAAACTGAGTGATATAATATTATAGTAAATCTAAATCAGAGAACATGAAATCCTTTAGATACTTCTAAGAATTTAAAGTGAAGCTTGAATCTAAGACAGAGTATTTTTGTATCACTAATAAAAAATGTTACGAGTTGTCGGGACTGTGGGTCAGAAGGTTTATGAATCACACGCTTCCTAGAAACAGCCAGGTTTTTCTGGAATTAGCCTGAATCAGTGCCTAATAGTTGTTAATTCTTTACCATTTAAAATTCTCCACCAAAAAGGCCTGGCTGACTGGGCTGACTCTCACGTCTCTTTCTTGGCTACAAGTAGCTTGTGCTCAGTAGCTCTTGGCGTGCCCTGTGGTACGTAAGAACATACTGGAATTGAACAGTCCTCGTGTAATTATGTATATAACATGTGTAACTTATTGGTTGACATACAGAGGTTCTAGCAGTGGACTAAGGGATATTCCTCATAACAGAATGGCCTGTAGGAGAGGAACCACCCAGCCCTTTATGTTGTCATTTTATAGCAACAGGCATTGTAAAATTTTTGTATTGAAAGGTAAGTGGCAGTAAGACATGTCTTGTAAATTAAGATTTTAAGAAGCATTAAAATGTTTTAAAATTACTCTCTGGGAATTCTGTATGTCAGAGAAAATTTTTATATCATTATGTTAATAAAAGTTATGGACTGTTTGTAATTCTGCCATTTGAAATGTGTGAAAAGGTTTTTAAAATTACCCCAAATAGCAGGTATTTTATTATGCATTTTTCTTTGCTGAATATAGAAGCATTTATGCTGAAGCATAAAATCTACAAAGCACATTAAAGTATAAAAAATAAAATTTAAATCTCCCATAATCCTACCTCTCGTTAATGACAGTGTGTTAGTATTTGATGTAAATCCTTTCAAGGTTTTATTTTTTTCTTTAAAAATACTTTTACAAAATTAGGTCAGTCATATACTTTTATAATCAGCTTTTGTACTTAATAAATTAGACTTTTAATCTGTTACATATATTCTTCTACATGTTGTCACACAGCGGGTGGGGGCAGCTTGTCCTCACAGGCTCTGTCGGCATCCTTTCAGCCCCGCTGCCATGAGCCTTCTCATGGGTGCACGTTCATATGCACGGCCTGCCTGGGGCTCAGCTCTGCTGGGGTGAAGCTGTGGGCACTCCATCCTTGGAAGGGCGCAGGCAGAGTGGAGAGGCTGTTCCTGGAAACCTGAGAGCACTGGCAATAAAAAATGATCCCTGTCAGTCAAATAACTATCCTGTCTAGTGGTGCTGTATATGTTTTCTTGTGTTTGTGGTCATTTTACTTTCTCATTTGATGTGCTTTACTTGGCAGTTCTTATTGTGTGCAAGGGTTATTTTTTTTTTTAATTGATTTGTAGGACCTGGTTTATGTTAAGGATCAGAACCTCTGTATAATCCATACTTTTCCTACTGGGCCATTTGTATCTTGATTCTCTGTTTTTATTTTTAATTGAAGGATAATTGCTTTACAATATTGTGTTGTTTGTTTTTTAAATGTACTAATTATTTTGTGCAAACTAAGGTTACTTGTACTTAATTTCATATGAGTATAGCTGACTTGTTTCAGAGAGATTGTCCCGGGATGGTCAGCTCAACCCTTTGGGGGAATGACTTACCTCCTGTGTTTGCCTCTTCCTGTCAGAGTCTGCCAGAGTCAGACCCTCTCGCCAGGGCCTCTCCCTGAGAGCAAGTGTTGTTGGCGAATCATGCACATGCTACTTGCTGGTGCAAAAAGAAGAGAGGAGCATTCTCGTTCTACCTGAGATCATGCTGCATAAGTTTTAGGTCTTGAGTTAAAGAAGAAACACTTCCTCTAAACTGGATGCAATAATGGTGTAATAACACCATGTATAGCATTTGTCTTCTTTGCTCTGATACTCATTTGGCTTCCCGGGTGGCACTAGGGGTAACGAACATGCCTGCCAATGCAGGAGCCATAGGAGAAGTGGGTTTGATCCCTGGGTCAGGAAGATCTCCTGGAGTAGGAAATGGCAGTCCATTCCAGTATTCTTGCCTGGAAGATCCCATGGATAGAGGAGCCTGGCTGGCTACAGTCCATAGGGTCGCAAAGAGTCGGACACAGCAAATTACTCAGCACTCTTGATACTCAATTTCAGTAATAAAGAATTCTTTTAAAAGGTAACTATATGCAAAACTTCAAAACCTCTTTATATTCAAGAGCAGTCGTCTTTAAACTGTCTGAGCAGGTAGCTGGACAACCCTCCCCCCATGGGAAGTCTGAGAGCCTGCAGCCTCACCCAGGTGAGCTCAGTCCTTTCCTCACCTCAATTCCCCACCCTCCCCCCACCCCGCCACTTCCCTACATCCAGTAGTGCCCTTTGGGTTCAGTGTGAGAACCATTCCACATGAGTCATGAGATGTTTTGAAAGTATTTCCCAGGGCCATGTGAGGCAAGAAACTGAGGCATTAACCCTTAGTTTTAAGTGCCAGCTAAGTGAGGGCACCTTACTTCTCAGGCTCTCATATCTACTAAAGAGCCACATGTCATGAGTGTTCATTGCAGATGCCACAAGACAAAAGTTGAAAAAGGGCCACAAGGGGCCAGATGAAGCTTTGGGGAGGAGGGAGCACAGGTGTATTGCCACCTATGGCCACTCCAGCAGCAGCGAGCTGGACCTCCAGGCGTGCACCCAGGTGCTGCAGCGACCCCCAGGGGAGCAGAGGATAAAGGCCATCTGGAGGCTGTTGTGCTGCGATGGAGTGGGACACAAGTTCAGACACAGTGGTTAGCATTCACTTACATTAGAAGGTAAAGAAAGAGCGTCAACTTCTGGCATGATGAGCTGAGAAACTGTGGACATGCTAGCCAGCAAAATGGGTGGAAATTTAATTTTAAGCTTTTGGAAATGGTCGTAAGAGCATATACAACAAATGAAGAAACATCTAAATGTGACAGTTAAGTAATAAAAACAAGTCTGTTGTTTGAACCAAGACTGTTCCTTCCCTCCCACCTCTCAGCTGAGCCAAGCAGAAAGTCTACTGCACACAGGTGGACCCAGGGACACAGGCTTCTGTCCCACCAGTTATCTGTTGGTACAGATATATTCTGGGTGAGACCAGATGAGAGATAACATGCTCTGTTCTTCTCTAGTGGATGGAGTCTCCACCTTGAGCAAATGATTATAACTATATAGGGCGCCAGGTGCCCTTCTAGCTCATGAGATGGGAGGGACATAGTGCTTCTAACTATAGGGCGCCGGGTTCCCTTCCAGTTCATGAGATGGGGAAGAGACACTGGGAAGACCTCAGGCTAATGACCCCTGCTCCACTGAGCATTTAGCTCCTGAAGCCAGGGAGTCACCCAGATAGATGGGAGCCACTGTTCTCACTCCAGGGTCCAAAACCCTGCTCAGAGATCTTCCTGCTGGGAGAAGCAAGCTGTAAAACAGGTAACTCCTCACCTCTTGTAAAAGAGCAGACTTTCTTTGCACCAGAGCATGGAGGAGGTCAGTCAGAAGGGCACTCTTGAAAGCAGTACAAGTGTGGTGAAAGGCAGTTAGGAGGAGGTTCATAGAGTCAATGAAGACACAGACTGAATTACAGGCCAACTAGTTAGCAGGAGAACCAGGGGATGAGACAGCGAGGAAGAGCCCTCCTGAGAACAAACTTCAAACTCTGACCTTGGGAACTCTCTCTTCTGTAAATCCTGAATTAGGTCATTAGGCTATAGAGCAGCTTATGCCCCCAGAGCATTGCTGACAACAGTAGAGCAATCAGCTGGGAATGGATGGAGCTTCAGCGCTGAGTGTGGTCAGGGAAAGAGAGTGGAGATCACTGCAATACCGCTGTCATTTCAGGATGATTTCAAGAAGCAACAGTTATAACTGGACACGGAAAAACAAACTGGTTCCAAACTGGGAAAGGAGTATGTCAAGGCAGTATATTGTCACTCTGCTTATTTTCCTTATATGCAGAGTACATCATGTGAAATGCTGGGCTGAATGAAGCACAAACTGGAATTAAGACTTCCAGGAGAAATATCAATAAACTCAGATATGCAGATGACACCACCTTTATGGCAGAAAATGAAGAGGAGCTAAAAAGCCTCTTGATGAAAGTAAAAGAGGAGAGCAAAAAAGCTGGCCTAAAATTCAACATTCAACAAAACTAAGATCATGGCATCCAGTCCCATCAGTTTAGTTCAGTCACTCAGTCCCATCAGTTTAGTTCAGTCACTCAGTCATGTCCGACTCTTTGTGACCCCATGAAGTGCAGCATGCCAGGCCTCCCTGTCCATCAACCGACTCCCAGAGTCCACCCAAACCCCTGTCCATTGAGTCAGTGATGCCATCCAATCATCTCATACTCTGTTGTCCCCTTCTCCTCCTGCCCTTGATC